CTATCTACTTCACATTCACCAGTAAAATTCATTTTGTGATCTCGCCTACCTCGTCTCCTTGTGTTAGGAACTTCTCTAGGTTGTTCCCTATACAAATTAGCAAGCAATGTGTCTTGTCTCTCCATCCACGTCTTTTGCCTATCCATTATGTTTCCCATATTATCAAACAACCTTTCAAATCGTCGTATCATATCTTCCGTCATGATGACTTGACTATTCTTCCTGCTTGAAGTAGAACCGTCCCCGTCAAACATCCTAAATCTAGTTTAATATTTGCCTCACTTGTGTACACTCATGTATCACCCAATTTGGTTTTTTTCTCTCTACTAATCTCACTACTCTATCTTTTTCCACTTAATGCTTTCTTGAAAGTGCTTCAAAAATTTAATTCGATCTCAATCAAAATTTAACCCTTGTAGAGTCCAAACAAAGAATTGAGTAAACAAAGTGATTTAGAATGATTCAAGAAGGTAGGAATTTGACTTTGAATGAAATGCGAAAGATAAATTTAAGAAAGTATTTCTTGAATTCGAATTGGACACTCTTGAATTTGAATTTTTTTTACTAAAAAAATGAAATTGTATGCTGTTAGCAGATTTTCGAATTTTCCTTTTTTTCCTCGAAAATTCAATTAGATACCAGTAAAAGAAACAAAAACTAATTTGGATGCTAAATTAGCACGCAAATAAGTTTTGAAATTTTTATGGAATTGAGATGAAAAAATTGAAGAACGTGAAGAACACGGAGAATGAAAAACAAAGACTCAAACGAAAGAAAAGAAAAAAAGATATAACCTTGATTTTTGGAGTCTTACTCTGATGCCAACTGATGCACACCCACGTAGTAATAGTAGCTACAGAATCCACGACAAATTAGAACTAATCTAAGAAAGTCAAGAATCAATGTTTGAAAAGCTCGACCCAATAAATTATTGAACCAAAGAACCAAGACAATCGATAATAATATCTTGACTCCATGATCACAAAACTTATGAACCGTACTTAAATTGTAGAACGCCAGAATAATTTAATTTTTGATAAGTTCAAAATTAATTCAATGAAGAATCTGAAGACAGCAATATGTCTCGCAATAATATCTCTCAAATTGTGTATTTTATGATGAACTGAATGAGTCATATTTATATGGAACCCATAAAATCTAGTTAATAGCGGAATTAAGCCTTAAAAATAACAAAAGATATAACAAAATAGAGTTTTAACTAAAATAGAAGATTACGCGAAATTTGAAAAATCCACGTTCAAAATAGCACTATGCGACCGCATGGGCTGCATGCAGTCGCATAGGCCAATTGTTAGCCTTCAATTTTGGTTCGGTATAGAGGCATATGGTCGTATAGTTACTTTTTCCAACTTTTCTCATCCATTGCTTGAACCAAGTTGATCTATCTTGTTTCTTCTTCCAAACTCAACATGAAACTTATTTTTTTACTTGTTGCGATCGATGTTTCGTCTACCGTAGCTTGAGCAAGCAATCTCATAGCTTTCTTGACCTTCTTTGCCCATGACCTCGTCATTGGTCCTTCCTCCACGATCAACGGATCCTCGCCCGGACTTGTCCTCGTATCATGGATCACATCAATATTAGTACTTTGACCAATTTAACTGAAGTACTAAACATCTAACTATTGATGCAGGGCACATGTCAGCAACACATATCGTCAACCTCCATTTTTTTGGTAAGTATATCTCCTTCCATGTTATTTATGGTAAAATGGTGCAAACCTTATTGTCAAGTTTCATGCTCATTCAGTACTACTAAACGCTGGTAAAGCAAATCCACTAATAGTAAATTTCTTCAAACTCAGAAGGGTGGTGTTAGCATATAATTCTATTTCGTAAATAGAAATATGGAAGGTGAATTTCTTTTCTTAATCCCAAACATGAAAAGGGAAAATATCATTTTTTTCGAAGCTCAACTAAATGTCTTGAGATGTCAAATATTTTTGCAGTCTGACAATATAACTTGGAATTTTGTCAAGTAAACTTAGCAATCTGCTTTCATATGCACAAATTATTCACTATGACGAGACTAAGGAATTCTAATCATTGTAAGGTGTTGCATGCTACTAGATGTAGTTGAATTTGTTATGAGATTTATCATATTTTTTCTTGATTCCGACCACCGTAGACATATTGTTAATTAAGGGCCTCATTTTGCATTTTTTTAATTTATTGATCGATTTGATGAGATGATTTATGCATGTGAAAATGCTGGAGTATTTGAGGACTTTTATAAAAGGGAATAGAGATTCAGTAGGGAGGAGTTGAAGGGTTTAGTTGAGAGTTTGTGTGAGGAAATTAGGGAAATGAAGGGGAAGGGAAGAAGGGAAATGCTTTTTTAAAGGCTCAATTGGGTTTATTTTAGCCGGTACAATTTTATTGGATGAGATATTCAAAAGGCTTGAGATTCAGGAAACGGAGGTATATGAGAAAGGACATGTAGAAACTGAGGTATATGAGAAACGCCAGAATAAATTGAGAGGATTAACTGATATTCAATTTAGCAGCCATTTATAAGTTCTTCGCCTAGTGGAATACAACACTAGACTTCAGAGTTGACTCGAAGTTCAGAAAGTTCAGCTTCACTCACTGGTAATATTGACGTTAGAGTTGTTTTTGAATATTTGAGAACAGTTTTGCTCTAGTTTTTGGGCTTCATGCTTCTTTCAATGGGTGTTAGCATTTTCCCTCATAATTATTCATCTAGACTGCTATGTTCTCCTCTCACTTTGAACAATGTGATCTTGTCCAGCTATCTTCTTCCACCTTATTTCAAGAGCTTATGACTTCCTTTGAGCTCATTTAAATTTTGTGTTTAAAACAAGTAGACAGCAGTGGGCGCAAGGTTGGTCCAGTACAATGCATGAACTCTCTTCCTCTCATGAGATTTTAATAATGCTACATTGCATCGTGAGCCTATATATAAATGTTGACCTCAAAACAACAAAGCCATGAATACAAGAAAAATTGAACATAATGTGTACTGATGTTGATGTGGCAAAATGTGATTGGACCTTTTTTTTCTTTTTTTTCCCATCTTCTAATGATGCCGCTGTCAAAAAATTTTGTACTTTTAGCATGATTGACCTCAAAATTTGTTGATCATGTGGCCCACAAGACTTTGACCACTTCTCCGTCAACCAAAGGTTCGCCTGCACATTGAACACATCGTTAGAAGGAAAATGTCAACGGCTGAAAAAAAGTTTGGCGGTCAGTTGTACTCTGACAGTCAACTCAACTACCGGAATAAAATATATTCAGCAAGGGAAACAGTAGAGGGAGAATTGGCTAGAGGAAGAAAAAACTTACTTTTAAGTGTGGAATGACCTTGTATATATATCGAGGAGAGAAATTGGTCCTAGATTTTGGCCCATACAAGCAAACACGCCAAAGAAAGGCAAACCAAGACACTACTTTTCGGCACCAGACTCTTTTAGTCTCCTTGGCAGCCGTGGATGACTGTCTGCACAATTAGGTTTTGGCGTTCTTGGATTTTATGTTTCCTATCCTCCAGAATGTGAATTTTGTTCCGTTTGTTCATCATTCTATTCTATATGATTTTGGGGGGCTAATGGATCGAGACCAAGCCAAGATGAGCTTCCTAATTCAATTAACCCAATCCAATTAATTAATTGATGCCAAGTCGTCCAATGTAGGGTGTTTATAGTTTATGGATCAGCCGATGATCCATTCCAGTTGAAGATGCGTTGGAGTTTGCCAAGATCATATCGAAAAATCAATTGCAAATCATAGAACGAGCTGATAATCGATACACTTCCCATCAAGCCAAACTAGTTTCAGTCATTTTGCCTTTCATAAAGGAGTGTCTGCAGCAGGGAAAAAAATGCCTCTGCATAGCTTTGTGGTCTCTAAATATGCATTATTTTTGTGCGTTGCCTGTTGTGAATGTTAAAGATTTCTTTTCTTTGGTTCTTCATTTAAATGTAGCAATAAATTGAATGTAGTGACAGAAAATATGACTTTGTTATTTATTTTATTTTATTTCTCTAGTGATCTGCAATTTGTGTCTGAACCTCAGCTAAGGTTTGCCTGTTTTTGGTTTAATTCGTTAACTTCTTTAAATGAAGTGAGCATAAGCTCTTAAGCATGTTTGCTCAAGCTTAAAATGTTAACTTGTAAGTTTTTATAATAAATATTTTTTAATGAATTAACATTGATCATAAATTAATTATTTTAATGGTAAGTCAATGTTATTTTCAAAGTTAACTTGTAAGTTTTTATAATAAATATTTTTTAATGAATTAAAATTGATCATAAATTAATTATTTTAATGGTAAGTCAATGTTATTTTCAAAAAAAAAGTAGCTTCTTTTTTTTTTAAAGCATTGTTTTTAATAGTGATTTTTTGGAGAATGTATGGTTAAAAATTAGGAAAAAGTTTATGGTATACGTATAAAATATTTTGTGTGAATGTGGTTGAAAATGAGTGTAGAAAAAGAGTTTCGAAAGAATTGAAGATAAACATGGGCTTAAAAGTAAGAATCAATTAAGATGATTAAAAAAAAGGTTTTTAAGAATGATTTTTTGACAAATCTTATACTCCATATTTCTATACCATGACTGAAAAAGGGAAAAGGAAACACAGGTTATTAACGAATGGATTACTCTCTTCTGGTTAATGAAATAAACCAATGTGCTATAGCATTTTATGCACTTTGACAAGAATATATCTTTAGTTAGAAACTAAGAAGCAATATACTTACATTTGCATCGATCTATTTACAGGTCCGACTATCAATTATTGAAACAAGAGGACCCATGAAAGATGCAGGTATACACTGCTAATGACAGTGGAGATGCTGATGAGTGAAGATCTTTATGCACACGATCCTGACCATTATAATGCTATGCCGGGTGAAACACTCCCCGAATACTCCTCTAGTTGGCTAAGATTCTTGATTTTCCTCACTCAGCAAATATTTCAACCCTCTTGCTAAGGAAATATGGGACGAGTTATTTTCACGCGCTGCTGTCCTTACTACTGTAATTTGCGTGAAGGTACACCCTTTGATCTTCATCCTACATAGCACGAAACAGAATTTACAGCAGACAAAAGACAGAAATATGAAGCCTTGAAACTACAAAAGTGAAAAGATTGACTGTCGTGTTTCATATAAAAGGGATAGCATTAAAGTTATAAAGAAGACTGAATTTCATCTCACCTCTTCCATATCCTCATCCTCTTCATCAGATGCATTATTTATCCTTGAGTATAAGGTCACTTCATCAATTTCACTTACGGTCTTCATATTTTCCTATATTACATCATGAGTAATTAAAGATTAATCATTAGATGTTTTGGACTAAGGTTGAGCTTAATGCGATGAAATATTCATTAAAGAGCAATCATACTAGCTCAAGCTTCAGCTTCTCCATTTTCTCCTGCAGGTCTGAAATATGGTGCTTTAGTCCCTGAAAATGTTTAAATGGAGTTTTGTGATCAACAAAATATTCAACAACGTGGCTGAAAACCGTGAAAAATCGAACTATAAACACCAGTGTTAGTCATCATATTACCTCACGTCTCTGAAGTTCAATTGAGCGGGCTAATGCCTGCCTTTTTGTCAGAAGATTTTTGGGCCTAAATGCACTAGGACGTTGGTAATTCTTTCCACGATAGATTATCACAGCATAGCCTTTGGTAGTTTTGTCTACAGAAACTAACACCCCACCACTCTCAGCCTCAAGAGAAACTGCAATATGCTTGACTTGTGAAAATGTTTTTCTGTCTACAAGTATCTTTACCAACTCTCGATACTTCCAATGTAAGTGCATATTTTCGATAGTACCATCAAAAACTTCTCGCCTCCCTAAAGTCAAAAGAGAACAATAAGCCCTGTTCTGTACCTCAATAATCTAATATATTATACATGATGAAATTTTTACCTAGAAGCAAATAAGTTTTCATGCTCAGACCGATCTTACGAAACAAAAACCTCTCCTCGTCACTTAAGGTTTCCAAATCAGTTGGTAGCTCAGAGGGTTCCATATTTCCCTGTAGTTTCAGTAAAGCCTTCTCAGCCATTCTGATCTTCCCTCTTGCCTGCAGGGACATTAGAGTATATGGTAGTAAAAATTGTAAGTTCTAAACAAGTTCTTTTAAGCAAATACTTGTATATCACAGCTTACAAGGGCTAGCTTCCTCTCAAGAAACTTGACCAAAGAAGCACGTCTAGCTATAGCCGAATCTTTCATCATTTTCTCTATTTCTGCACTGCTTCGTTCGTTACCCCAGCGCGAGGAAGCGGCTGTTGTCTCAGCAAGGGTTCCTGCAACTAAAGGCTGCTTAGCTGCTTCGGAATATGAAATGATAGATGTTGCTGCTTTCTGCCTTGCTTGTTCTTCATCATCGTGTTGGATTGCTACACATTTCTCTACTTCTACCAGTGCATATGAAACACCAGGTGGCAAGAAATCATTACCCCTGTAAAAAACAATATAGTCCTTGTTCCTGGAAAGTAATGTTCCTCCAGTTAATATCTGCATTAAAGACATAGGATTGGTCATTGCTGAAAAAGCTGTTGGGCCAAATAATGTGTGTGGAGATTATGTTGGGAAAAAAATGACATTCATTCAAATATATTTTTATGATTATTAGCCTTTTGTGAACTTTTCTCTTCTTCTTTCTTAAGACTTTAGTTACATTGTTGTTTGGTGCTTTCTTTTGGGTTTATTGTTAAAATGTAGGCAGGGCAGTCGGATAAAAATTGGTAATTAACATAACACAAAAGCAACTAGTACATTATCTACTTCGAACCTTAAGTTCTTCTGCCATCCTTTCATTCAAAGTATTTTGTACACCACGTTTGATGGCTATCTTTGCAATAGCACTCTTCTTCCATAACTTCACCATGGCCATAGCAAGACCTTGCAATTCTCTGTTTCTTCCTAAATCATTAAGCAAATATAACTAATAAAAAAATGTTCTGAATATTAAAAAAAATTCACATTTCATGTTGAGCATACCAAGGGCAAAATGTGGAGGCATCTTTCTTGCAGTTCTACGAAAATATGTCATTTCTTTGTTCCGTAATGCTTGTCTAACCCCATAAGGAAGAAGTCTAAATGGGGGTCTATATCCTGGAACAACAGCAGGCAACAAGTCTGCATCAACAGGCAGTGGTTCCGGACCTGACCAATCTACGAACCTCGGACCAAGCTCGTCTAACAGAAGGTTGAGCTCACTTAGATCCATTAGTTCTTCCTTAGATAGACTATTCAAATACTTAGAAGTATAATTTTGAGATGATTCTGCAGCTCCAGATAAGGGTTTCACTTTACTGCATTGAGTAACATCATTAACAAAATCTGATGAAGATCTAGCTTCAATATCAGCTTGAATTCGTTTACTATATGATTGTACACAATCAAGTTTGTACGACATTCCTCTGTATAGAACTACCGAACTTCCTGATCTCCATATAACCAAACCTCCAGTTCTAGCCTAACAATTAAACAGCACAATATACGTGAGAAGAAACACTGTTCATCATGAATTCTAGTAAACCACGATATGAATAATTCACAAGGCGAAGAGAAAATACAACGGTAAGAATGTAATGAACAAAGAAACAGTTTAATACTCACAAAATTAGCAATTCAACTTGAAGGCAGCATTTACCCACTTAATATTACAATACACATATATTACAATTGGCAGTTACATCGTTCTTCTCTACGAAAAAGCTTAAGATAAGTGGAGACTTACCTCAAGAATCTCATGTGTCCTCTTCATGTTCTTTGAAGGAGGCCCTTCAAATCTCAATTTTATGATTTCTTCGTCCTTCCACTTCGCGTGGATTGCATCGGCCAATGCCTGTGTTACTCCAGCTGCCCCAACTTTCATTCTCTCTACCATCCTCAATGCCACATTTCTAAGCCTCTTCAGTTCAGGTTCCGGTATCAACTTCTCAGCCAACTCTGTATTGCTCTTCCTTAACTTCTCCCCTTTCACAGGGTCTTCATTAGTTCCTCTCTGCCATGGCAATCTCATAGAATCACTAAAATCATCTGACCCTTTTTCGCTGCTGAATTCTTGAGAAATGCTCCGTGAATCCTCTACAAAAAAGGCATCTTCATTCTCCTCTTCAACCAAAATGTCATTTTTTTCTGATAATCCTATAGGGGTAACGTCATTTTTACAATGCTCAGAAAACCCATCAAGGTTTTGCTCACTTTCTTCTTGAAAATTTCTTGTAGCTTGAGAGTCTGGCAAGTCCTTTCTTGGTTTATTTCCATGAACCCAAGGAGCCAAAATTGACTTATTTCTTGAACTAGAGCTCACCGAGCCATCCCCAGAAGTATTCTTCTCACTTACTGTCACAGAAACGACACCCTCAGATAGCGGCAGCACATGTTCTTCATATTCCTGAATCGAAGAATCACTCTCTTGTTCATGTTCTTCCCAAGGGAATTTTTCTCTTAAAGAAGGGATTTTGAGGGACCATTTATCTTGAATTTGTTCAATAAAGCTTGGCCTAGGTTTTCTCTTCTTCTTTACGGGATTGGTTTCTTGTTGAACGGATTGATGCGAGCAAGAAAATTTCAATTTTTGAACACGGAATCTGTTTGAAAAATGGGCTTGTGAGTGAAGTTTGATCAAGTAGAAAGATTGAGAAGAATATGACGATGAAGCAGAGAGAAAATTTGAAGGCAGTGGTGAAGGAGCCATGGCGATGAGGTTGAAGAGTCTCAATTTCCTTTAGTAATGAAAGTATAGATGATCTCTCTATGAGAACGGGCATTAAAAAGATGAGGCTGAAAATTTCTGACTAGCCTAAGTTGCAACTGAAAATGGGGCTGGAAATTTGACATAAATAGCATTCACTGTAGGAAAATATGTTTACTTGGCATCTTGAGAGTCTTGAACTAATATACAGGTCAAGTATCCCTACGTATTAAAAGAGTCACTCCGTATGGTCACTATTCCTATGAATGTGTGCCAAGTTACTGATTGCTTCAATAATTTATTATTTCCCTAATTTGTCTTCTCACACATATGACCCACTCCCTCATTTCTTTTCTCACGCACAAACTCCAGAATTTGGGTCGCAATGCGGTTGCCGATGGACTTCTTGATCGCCACCACTTTCATACCCGTCTGAAAATATCCCTCGACATTACCTTAGACCTTACCATTAAGGTCAAATCAAATCCCGATGGGGAGGATGAAGGAGCGTTGACTCGACCCCAACCCCACTCTCTCTCCTTGCTAAGCAAAAAACTCGAGTCCGCCATGACGTTCCTCTACATGAAAGTCATAGTCGATACGTTTCTCGTTCTCCATTACACGTATATATTAAGCGTGAAAAATATTATTTTTTGCCACTTTTCCCCTTTTTTAAACTTAGCTCGTTATTGGCTCTTGGAATTCTTTTTATTCAATTATTTATATTCATGATTTAATGATAGTTTATTGTCTTGAATATTTATTAATGATTTTATTACACTTCAATGGGCATATCATATACGTGTTGATGTGGGTTCTAGGGTTTTCAATATACTGATTATGAATATTTATTAACTATAGTATATGCTTGGTTAATTGAAATGGGGAGTAATTTTAAACTTCAAGAATTTGGGAAATGATTTGCTAGAAAAAGGCATTGGTGGTGGAAGGGTGGCAATTTGCGGAGGCAGGGATCATTGATGCTGCCGTGTGCATTGAGTCGGAACTTTACGATTGATTTTAGATGAGTAAATTCCTAAATCTAATAAGCAAACAAAATTCTACCCTTATCACTTATGCATAAGGGAAGAGATGCTCAAGTTGCACAACACATTCTTTCTTCTTTGTGTAATTTATTGGTTCCCCTCCTTTTCCTCCTAATTTTCCTTCTATTCCCAAATCCCATCCCCTCAATTCAAACAAATAGATCGTTGTACTATGTATTACATGTGACCATCTATCGCTAATCTCATATTATTTTAGCATGAGGCTGTGTGTTTCAAGTGACCCTATAAAATTTTGTTATTGGAGTTGATACTGAGCAAACCTGATCTGTCTTTACTGTCTTCTTGCAGTAAGACAGAGGCGAATAAGAAAGTTCTTTAAAGTCCTTCAATAGAACAAAAGGTGATTTCCTTTTACTTTACTCTCTATAAATATCTTCTTCATATACATTTTGTATTTTCGTAGGCAGCCAACAAGAGAGGAACGAAAATCTTTATTGACAAACATGCGATCTACAGGCTGCCTACACACCGATGCTAACCCTTGCTTATCCTTCCGACAGATCATGCCACTCCTCACTGACTTTGAAAACCCTTTTGTAAGTTCTTATGTGGTCGAAATCATGATTACTATCTATTTACTTATCACATCATATTCATTTTGGTTAAGTTGAATCTAAGCAGTTTTTACTTTTTTATGAAGGGTTTTTAATCTTAAGAATTAAAGTATGAACTTTTATTGATTTAACGTCGAACTTTATTTAGAGCTGTAGCTTGAAAATTTTAACTATTGCAGAACGGATTTTTTTTTTTCTTGAGGGAATACAGTTTGGAGTTCCAATAATAGGTTCATATATATGTAATTATCTGTAAGGAAGGACAACACGTAAATGAGGCAATTGAAATGAGATTTAGGCTGTTTAAATTTGACTTCGTGTGCTCAACTTAGACAATTTCTTTAGTCAAATTTAGGTTGAGTTTGAGCTGTTTATCAAGGAGTTAATCAACCCTCTCTCTCTCTCTCTCTCTTGGAAAGGAAATTTGTGAAAGGAAAGGAAAAACAAAAAGAGAGAATGAATTACAGAAGGAACAATAATCTTGAAGATTTCAATTGCATAGAGTATATCAAATTAATGGCTGATACGAGAGAAAATTGACTTGGACAAAGAAGAAGACTTTAATAAATTATCCCGTTGAAACCGTATTTAATTTGCGCCTTCTCGTGTTTTCGCTTTTAAGGAATGTACAGAGGCTCACAAATTCTCTCAAAAATATATGGGTTCAGCCATGGGTATCCAAGGGTGATTAACCTGCATTTGGTCAAAAACACCCCCAAACAAAATATTAACGGATATATAATTATCCACCAAATTGTGGTTAAGGCTATTACGAGCTATAACAGTCCGTACTATTAGTGCATTGTAGTGGGGATATATGACTCCATGCTCATCATCGCTATTAAAGTAATTGGAAGAGATGTAAGTTTAAGATTACCTTGAATCCAAAATACTTTCTGTATGAGCTTTCTAACAGCGTGAGCATAGCTCATTTGTTCACTTATTTTTTTCCGACCTATGTAAGGGCTTCCAATTATAGTATTGATTTCCCTTATTAGATATTGACAGTCGGAAGCATTTGTTGGTGCTAGCTTTGGCTCGATCTGCCTTGGTATGCTTTCACGACCTCGTCCCTTGGTTAGATAAGGTGGCCTTCTATCTTCTTTCATTCCCAGTGAACCTCCATGTTCACTTTGCAACTTAATCATCTTTAATACCTCATAACATTCTTCTATATCGTGATCCCTAAAGCAATGAATCTTGCAAAACTTTGCCTTCTGATTCCTGGGGGAGAGGGTGTTCTTTACCCATGGATGGTGTAGGGGCTGAACATATTGTATGTACCCTATCCATGGGTTCTTCAAAATGCAAATATTGTTATTTTGGCAATTTAAAACAATGTTCAGAGGTTTTACCATAGACTTTTTCTATGCGAACCTACTATACCTTCTTTTCGTTGGCGATTGTGTCCTCTATTTGGATCTCACTCTGGATCAAGTTCACCAAATGATAATAGGAGGTTGGATTTCGATTATGGACGTCTTGCCAGAAGGGAGTCTCCATTAGTCGACTATTCCATAAGGCATTTCTAACCTTTTCGTCCGATACGATCTCGCAAGCTATTATGTCAACACTGAACTGTGCAAAATAGCTTTTAAGAGACTCGCATTCTTCCATCGTAATTCGTTCAATCATGTGGCTGGAGCTTGCCCCATTTTGCTTCCAGTGAACGATTGTTTTAGTTGTGGCCAGCTCTTAATCCATCATAATGACAATTCGACACACCATCTCTTAGCCGGTCAATCTAGGGTTAAATGGAAACATTGTCACTATAGCGTAGGGTTTGCCTTTTTCAGTTTCATCTGTGTCATATACTCGAACAAATGATACATAGGATCTCCTTTCCCTTTGTACTTCTCTATCATATGACGAACAATATTAGCCGATATTGACACCTCCTTGAGCTCTTTGGAAAATGGTACACATTCATCATCATCTATTTCATATGACCTAGCCGATTGATCTTTATACTCTTTTGTCAGAAAACTGTTGTATGACGTGTCGATATAATTTTTAGCTTTTTGATCTACCTGACGATAATACTGAGTTGATTTTCTATCGCGGGAGATTAATTTATCCATAGACTTTCCTAGAGTAGATTTATCCTTATACCATTCTGTCTTCTTCTTTTCTATCATTCACCGGTTCTCGAAAATCTACAGGCTGTTGTTCTCTTTGCCTGTCTAGAAATGTGTTTTTCTCTGTTTCTATCAGAATCAACTTGCCAATTTTCTCCCGGAATATCGACTATTGCGCGAAAAGACACATTCTCCACCAATAACGCTTTTAGGCTTTCAGCCATTCCCTTGATTGTTTTGTTAATAGATGCCATCTTCTTTAAGTGACGACCCTGAGTAGGATTTCAACCTCAAATGATAATTTTCCTTTCAGATTTTCTCTCGTAGGATTCATTTTTATCATATGCTTAGGATTTCTCAGCTATAATAGATTTTCATAGTTTACTTTGTTTAAGTTTACAACCGACGATGTCAATCTGTTGACGATAAAAATCAGATCAACAAATTATATCACGTAGCCAAGAATTTCACCTCCAAATCTCACTAGTTTTGATGCTCAAATAGGAACTAGAGATGAATGGCTATTTGGGAGAAAAATATTTGAATTGCACGCATTTCTCTTCAAATGAGGAGGTATTTGTTACATATTGTGCTTGCCATCTTGATCTATTTAAGGCCCAATGATGAAGCCCAATTGGTAATAGCCCTCTTAACCGTTGAGTGTGACCCGTTTCCTGGCCTAGTGTGCAATCTCGTGTTTCTGTTATGCGACTTTGGTTCTAACTAATTAAGCTGGCTGAGATTGTGACACGTGATAGTGGCTGGATCGTTGGATGCACTGTGACCTTTACATATCTTCGAGACTCTTCTTTTCTGATTCATTCAGTCAATTCATTTTAGGGTTTCAGTCTGTTTTGAGTTCTTCTCTCTGTAACTTTTCTCTTGATGAAAACTTATGGTTTTCATCTGTAATCTTGAGGTTAGATAATCTTGGTGATATCTTTGTATAGATTACAGTCTGGTTGTGATTCTTGTGTTCTTGGTGAGCATAGATCAGGTTACTGTGTGTAATCCGAAGAGAAAAATAGAGAGATCTAGGCTGAGGGTTGAGTCGACTGGTTCTGTTGTGTCTCTGATCTGTACTTGATAAACTTCGTTTGGATTCTAGTGGATTAGATTGATAATCACTCCGGTGAATGCTCAACGGGTGACTAGCCCTAATTTAGGGTGAACATCCGGGCCTTAGGGCGAAAAATCTTCTGTGTTCTTTTTGTTCTTGTTATGGTGAATGTTTTTGGGTTTGTAAAATACCAACAGTAGTATCAGAGCATCTCGATCTGAGACTGGAAACTTTCAATCTAAGG